TCAGCCTAAGCCTAGAAAGAAGCATTTGGAGCAAGCCAGTATACATTAGTGATGTAACCTGAAAGAGCAAAGATGCCTTCAGAATATCCCTACAGGTGAGAAGGGGAGGATGGCTGGTTTTACTCTGATGCTTGTCCCCATGGAAACTTGCTGGGGGCATTGTAATCTAGCTTTTACCTGAAGGATTGAAGGAAGAGGTGGTAAGCAGAAAAGAACTACAGATTGATCCTAGCATAATGGAAAGAAAAGGAGCAAGAATGTAGCTGCAGGAAAGGGGGTAAATTGAATGGCAAAATGCCTGATTCCAGAACTGCAGAGTCCACGGGATCTGAAAGAGAGTGGTGTAGTTTATTATCCTTGGAGATGCTGTGGTGGTCAAACATCACCATATTCATTTATATTCAGCATGCCTTCTCAATCATATCACTACAGCTGTCAGGATTAGAAACAAACTCTGTTAAGATTAAGAAAGTTATCAGCCCAAAACCACATCTCTTCAGTCATGTCCTACTGGTTGAAAACCTCTTTTAAATGGAAAATTCTGTAGACGCAAAACAAAAGCATGTTACCAATCAAACTAGAAGTTTCTGTTTTCATGTTCCTGGCTTTTTAACTATTAAATACAACTTAACCAAAATCAGTTGTAAACTAGTAGCTTTTTGTTTTAGAAATGTAAAATGTTATATAATTTTGGTCTGCCATGCTGATGATTTAGCTATTGTAATTGATGCCTTACCTGTTAAAAAATCAAATAATCCTGTGCCTATGTCATGTTAAGAAATTATCTTAATTCAGTTGAAACCACTACAGATCAATCGTAATCTTGTATTGGGTCTTTCCTGACTAGTCTTATACTATCTGTTTCTGAGCATTTTTCATTCAGTTCTGTTGCTTCTGTTTATAGTATTAAAATTCAGGTTTCTATTTTTCCAGCTCCAGTGCTAGCTAACTGTATAGCACATCTTCAGCTTTTAAAGAGGCTGTTCTGCTCATCGTGCTCTCAGAATCCAGACATACTGATTATCCTTCCTTCATGTCCAGGCTTTGGAAATTTGAAAACAATGGATTATATCACTCCTTATGTCAAAGTTGCTGGCCAAAATGAACTGCCTTTGTGACTTCCCAAATATTGATGTCTACCCAGTATTTGGTCTTGTTGCTGAATAGCATCTGAAGTAAATTCAAATTTACTAGAATCCTGATCTGTAGGGAGGGATGGGTTTTTGTCTGATGGATACTATGAATTTTGGGATATGGGGTAATTTTAGTAGTCATGCTTTAACACACTTTTGTGCAGTCTGGTGGTGGTGGTAGACAGGACTGCGATTTGAGCATAGGATTGGAAGCAAGGAATTGTGCATTTCTGTTCCATATTTAATTCTGGTTTTGGCCTGAGACCAAAACATCTTGATTTCACTAGAGTTCTGTAAGGGTTAGTTTTTAAGTACTTTGAAATGACCAGCATTCATGTAAGTGTTCAAACAGATGTTAAACAAATATTCTTTTCTTTAAGACTGCCACAGATGTAACGCCAATAAATTTAATTTAAAATTGTCCTTGAGAATGGGTCTTCATTAAGACACTCTGTAATTGAATTGATGCATGGCCCGATAGTTAGTGCTGTGTTAAGTTATTTTAAAAATGCTACTGTATCTGGAATGCAGGTCTTCTGCATGATGTCACTAATGAAAGATGAGTCTTATTTAATATGTTACATATTTCTGCATACTTTGCTTATCTTTTTAAAAAGATTGCTGTTTGCGAAAGGGATTGAAACTTTTGCAGAATAAAGGGAACATAGATAGTGATAAACTGCAAAGAAGGTTTAAATACAGTTACCTACTAAAATGTCCATTAAAAAAATTAAATTGCACAATGTACTCCATTTAGGCATCTCTAAATTCAGAATTCACTCTGACCACGTAAGGTAGTATTAGTCCTAATTTTTGCCTAGTGTTTACCTATAACAGTGTTTCCCAATCTTTTCCAGCCCAAAGCACACACACATTAATAAAAATCTTCCACCTCATGCCTGTTAAGTCATTCCCCATCCTCATACCTATTGTAGCTCATTGCCATGGCAAAATTCCACAGCATGCATGTTCATTTCTGACTGCACGCTTTTGTGCCATGGCACACTGGTTGGGAAACACTGACCTATAACAAAAAGTAGTTACTTGCATATTGATTAAGAGCGTAAGAAGTTTAAGAGCATATTTTTTAATTTCACTGCCTATTTTATAATTTAGTTGAACTTCATTTAACTACATAATTGATGCCAGAGAGGGTGAAGTGGAAATGGTTGTTAAAGAGTTGCACTTAGAAGCTTTTATATTGATGGGAACTAATTAATTTCTGGGTTGTTATTAAAAGCTTTGAAAATAAGAGGAGATGGCAACATTGAAGAGGACTAGCTCCCATTGTTTTCAGGACTGCTGTTGCTACCCTTACAGTTAAAGAGAAGTTTCATATTCCTAATATCCAACATAAATCTTTGTGGCAAATTTAAATTAATTTCTTCTTGTCCTTACACTGGTAGACATGCGAAATAATCCATCACTATCCCCTTTGTAACAACTTTTTGAATAATGGGAGACTACCAGTAATTCATTCCCCACTCTGTGGTCTATTTTTATACACTATTAGTCTTTCTCCATTCCTGGTAAACTTCTCTGAACTTTTTCCATTTTGTCTACAAAATTTATTTTAAATGTAGGATAACTAACACTATATAGCACTCCTGCTAAGACTGTATCAGGCCAGGTAGGGTGGGATAATTACCTCTTGGGTCTTACCTAAAATACTTCCGCTAATAAATCCCAGAATGAGATTTGCCTTTTTTGCAACAGTATCACATGGTTGACTCAATTAGCTTAGGGTCCATGAAAACTACTAGGTCCTTTTTGTGTCATATTACCACCTACTTAGGTAGTCTCTTATTTTGTATTTATGCCTTTTGATTTGTTTTCTTTTCTTCATAAGTGTAGGGTTTTGTACTTATCTTTATTGCCTTCCATTTTGTTGTTTTTTTTGGGGGGGGGCACCTCTCCAATTTATTTAGAACATTTTAATTTGAGGACCATAGGACTGGAAGGAGCTTTCTGAGCCATTGAGTCCAGCCCCTGCACCGGTTAAGTTGGTAGACAGCCATTTACCAAAAATTCTCCAAAATCATCATTTAAACCAAAAATGCCACCTTCACATCCTTATGTACATAATTGGAGACCCCAAGAACACCTAACAACGTGCCATATGTAAAAGCAAGGAAGATGAAAGGACTGCCAATTCTCATACACTGCAATGACAGGAAAGTTAATATATGATTCTGTTTTCCAGAGTGCTTAGTGTTATTTGTAGACTTTATAAATGTACCAGTCCACCATCTTTTTTTAGCCTACTTGTTGAATACAGATGGGTCAAGGACAGATCCCTGTGAGATGTTGCTTGAAGTGGGTCTCCCAGTTTGACAGCAAACTCTCAATAATTACTCTAAGTAGTTTTTCAAAAAGTTATGTTCCTACCCGATGTCGATTTCATCTGGACCCTATTTCCCTTGTTGATTTATAAATATGTCGTGGGTGTTGGGACAATGTCAAAAACCATATTAAAGTTAAGATCAACCCTACTGCTTTTTTATCTTTTCAGCTAGTTAACATACCAAAGAAGGAAACTTGATTTGTCTTCATCCGTTTGCTTGGTTTTTTTGACAAATCCATAATGGCTGTTTTTATCTCTCTAGTGCAGGGGTTGGCAGCCTATGGCTTATGGGCCAAATGTGGCCTACAGAGTTATTTTATATGGCCCACAAAGGCAAAAGGCTAGGCAGCAACGGAAAGTGGTGGCTCCAGCTCATGTGGTAGTAGTATGGGCCCTGTTTGGAAACAGCTCACATTTGGAGCTAACCTCTGTTGAAGTGGAACCCCACTGCAAAAAAGGTTGCTAACCCGTTTTTAGGGCCGGATAAACTGATAAATCAAATAAACTGATAAAACAATCCATATGAGTGCTTCTACTTGTGATATAAATTGACAATAGTTGAGTTTAATTTTTTTGCACTTTTTAATAAAACTATTTTCCTCAGGGGAGAGAGGTTGATTACTTGGTGTTTTGAAACCATGCTGACTTGTAAATAGATCTTAGCCTTTACACTAACTTTGGTCTTTATACTAATCAAGTTGAAACAATCTAGATGTTTTATTTAACTCACTACATAGCTATATTTATTCAGAAAATGGCTAATGATGTATTTCTTTTTACAATTTCTTTTTAATTTTGATGGGTCAAAGCTTTATTTAGATGGCTAATGAAACTCGATTAAACTGCAGTTAACATAGCTATCCAGCACACTTAAGGTTAACTAAAAACATTCTGAATTGCCAAGGAAAAAGTTTATTAAACCAACATGTTCTGCATTAAAAGTTTTCAATAAATACAGGAATTATTAATTGTAGTTAGTGAATTGAACTGATGTTTTTGGTCAATGTCTCCTTTAAGACATTAGAAATAGTAGAGCTCTCTCAATTTTTATTTATAGATTGGAAGGAGAGGGGAAAAACATTTGTGTTTGTTAAACTCCCACTTGGTTTCTCAGCTTGGAATGAGCTAAGAGTTTAAATAAATAGTAAAATAACTAAAATGAATACAGTTTTCTTTAAGAAGAGGCCAGTGTTGTCGAAAGCTGGTTTACACTTCAAGTTCTGTTTTTAGACACCAGTTCATTGGGTCAGTTTCCTGAAAACTTTGCCTCAGATGTGTTGCTTAACATTTATTAAGTCATGTTAAAGTCATATTGCAGGTTGTCATAATTTCAAGTTTAATTCTACATAGATTTTTGTAAAAAAGATGAGAAAGATTTAAAGTCCAAATTGACCTTGTTTCTTTGGAAAATGTATTTTTATTCCCCCCAGTTGTGAGAATACAGGTGGAGTTTTCCAGTTTTTTTCATTCTAGATGTTAAGGTGTATAAACAAAATCAGCTAATACACTTTTTCCCCCATCAGGTTATCTGCAAGTCAGATGCTCCTACAGGGGATGTTCTACTTGACGAAGCTCTGAAGCATATTAAGGAAACCCAGCCTCCTGAAACAGTGCAGAACTGGATCGAGCTACTTAGTGGTATGATGTGGACATTGATTATTTTATTTACTTATATACTTTCTAGTCTAGTGATGGTATACAACTCTGTATTTATTCGTCTATCATCACTAGATTAGAAAATAAATTGTAAGGTCTTCAGGGAAAGAACCAATCTTGTAGCAAAGCTCAAACTGAGGCTAAATCCTGCTGCTAGCCTTTGAACAGTATAAGGGTACAAATAATTGTTGATCTTGATGAGGCAGTGGTAGAAGGGATCAAAATGCAAAGTTCTGAGGATGTCATTTGCCTGGCTCTTCACACTTTGGAAGCTAAATATTTGGATGTACAACAGCTTTCTTCAAGAAGAACCATCAGTTGAATAGAGTTGAGTTCCCAGATACAGTTATCTGAGTGAAAAGAGAGTGCAGTTCAGGTTACATCCTTATAGGAGTTCACACTTTGGATTCTCCAGCGAAGAAAGGGAAGTGAACCAACATTTCTAAGGCAAAACACAAGAACTCAAATTATGTTGGAGCTTTTTGAGGTTATAAAGGAGTGGTAAAGAACAAGGCCACAGTTTTTAACTTTTCATAACTCATCTTTTTAGCCAATATTTTCAAGCTTGACTGGTCAGGGTAGTCAGTTCTAATCTGTTCAGAATGAGGGATGCAAAATGAATTATTCGGATGCAATTACCTTGAAATCTTCCCACAAACTGATATCAGGAGTGGAATGCAAATTGGATTCTCCCATTACTGTAGAGGCAATTAACATTTTCTTTACTTAAATCCATGACAATCGTCTGTCTCCACTTCAGTGTATCAGTTAATCTAAAATGAAAAGGGAATTCCATTATTGAATGATGATAGTCTTTTAATATATAATGTGTTTCATCTTGCTGAAGCCAAGGCTCATTAGAGTTGCTTGTCTGTTGTTTTAAATGAATTGTATACCATCTGAGGAACGGAATACAGGTAGGGTTCAAAAACACAAACTATACTATATACTCTGAAAAAGGAAATGGGGGGGGCAGAAAACTCTGTTGTTAAAAGTATAGCATGCCTTTAGAACAGGCCTTTGAATTCTAGGATGAATTTATATGAATAAAAAAAAAGTATTCCCTTCGAATGGGTTTTCTCATGGGCAAGTTGTATAAAGTAAACTTAATCTGAGAAACTTCTCTGACTTTTGTTTCCTTTCATTTTAATTGTATTCTTTTCTTCCCTCCCTCTCTGTTTCTCTCTCTCTCTGTGTAAGGAGAGAGAGAAATGACTAACATGAGTTCTGGATGTCCTTTCTTAGCCTTCTGTTCTGTGCAGTGCCTGTAAGCAAGTGCTAGGCCATGCAACCTTGCTGTTTTCGAGGACCATTAACCATAGTTGTCACTAACCTTGCAAATATTTCTATAGGCTTGAAAGGCATTTGATTTTCTTATCGAAAACACATCTTCTATATTAACACAATCTCCCTCCCACTCTGAGCCCGCTAGGTCAATACTTGTTCAGGCAATGTACTTAATGAGTCACCAGCACTTTACATGCTCCTTAAGGGTATTACGTACATGTCCTAGCTCAGTGGGGGTCCAATTGTTTTGGTAGGCCTGCCACAAATTAGCCCTGCACCCTCTCCAAGTGTCACTCCCATCTTCCTTCCCGTGCCTGGTCTGCTGCTCTGCTTTCTGCTTCCTTACCTGTTCTCCTTGCCACATTTGTTGCTCTGCTTTCTGCTTCCTCCCATATCTGCTACTGTGCTGGTTTTTCCCTCCCTGATCCACACACACAGGCTGCCCATGCCAGTTTGGTCACTTCTGACCTAGCCTACCCTGCTAAGCTTTTTTTCTGAGGAGATTTGGTTTAGAGAATCCCCAAACCAACTATAAAATACTAATGCTTTAAAATAAAGATGATTGACCCAACCCATAATACTGGCACTTTTTTTATAGCTAGTTTGGGGGTGGTAGGGTTTGGAGATGATTGGTTTAGCTTTTACCCGTGCTCAGCACCAGCTTGTAACCTGCCCCACTGCCAGCCTGGGCTCCACACCTGCCCGTCGGCGGCAGCAGCTGTGGCCCCACTGCTTGCTGCGCCAGGCAGTGTTGGCTGCTGCTGCATGCCCGGAGCTCGTGCACTGGGCAGCCCACAGTCAACAGTGGCAAACACTGCCTGGTGCAGCAAGCAGTGGGGCTGCAGCTGCTGTTGCCACGCACAGCCCTGATGGGTGATCCTAGAGCTGGTACAGGGCCCAGGATGGCAGTGGGGGCGAGTTACAAGCTGATGCTGAGCACGGGGGAGGTGAGGGAGCGGCCCCTTGCTCACCCTGTGCCCAGTGCCCCACACTGCAGCCGCTTATAGCCTGCCTGTGCCGCTTCCCACCCCCCCATGCTCAGTTTTTCTCCGGGCTCCTTCCCGGCACAGAGGAAAGTGGCCCCTTGCCTGCCCCATGCCTAGCGCTCCCTGCTGCAGCTGCTTGCAGCCCATGTGGGGCTGTCCTGAGCAGGCACAGGCACTCCCAGGCAGCCTGTGAGCAGCTGCAATGCGGGTCCCCGGTCACGGGGTGGGCGAGGGGCTGCATTTGCACCCATGCACTCAGCTTTTCCCTAAGCCGCTTTTCCCTAAGCCACTTTTCCCTGGGGTCTGCCCCTGCCCTTCCCTCCCCCCTTACCTACGGTTCTGGCGCAGGGCAGCCATGTGGTCCCAGGCCAGAAGCCCCTGCTGGGGTGGGGCCAGGCAGGCCCTGCTGTTGTGGGAGCCTGCTGGGCTTCCCTTGGGTCCTACTGCCCTTGGTTTCTGCCGCTTTTTACAGGAACCAAGGGCAGAGAAATATTAATTTTCTAAATTTTTTAGGGGTCCTGCGGGCCGGGTAGAATGGCCTCGTGGGCCAAATCCGGCCCTCAGGCCATATTTTGCCCACTCCTAATTTAAGGCCACATGTTTGTCAATCTAGAGCGACAAAATAAGGTGATCCATGGTGAAGAGAGGAGTCTACAGAACATGGAAATATGTTTGTCAGAATATTATTACCTCCTGAGAACACAGCACACATCTGTCTAAATCTCTACAGCAGTGGTTCTTCACCGGAGTGCTGGCACTGCTGCAGGGTGTAATTGCCCCATGTGCTTATGTTTTTCAGGAGGTACATTGAAACCAAACTGAAAAGCAGCTGCAGCAGAAAAGTGTGCCTACTTGCATTATATTATGCAGGAGGCAAGCATTTCTGCTGCAGCTCTTCCTGTTTTGGCTCTACCGTGCCTCCTGAAAATGGAGGTGCATAGGGCAGTTCTACCTGGTGGCAGTGGGACTTATCTCTAGGTCAGGGGTGGGCAAAATACAGCCTGTGGGCTGAGGCCATTCTATCCGGCCCATGGGGCCCCTAAAAATATTTGGAAAATTAATATTTCTCTGCCCTTGGTTCCTGTAAAAAATGACAGGAACCAAGGGCAGTAGGACCCAGGGGAAGCCCAGCGGGCTCCAACAACAGCAGGGCCCGCCTGGCCCCACCCCTCAGTCAGAAGCCCCTGCTGGGGTTTCTGGGCTGGGAGCATGTGGCTGCCCTGGCGGCGCGGGAAGCTCAGGTAAGTGGGGGCAGGGGACCCCGGGCAAGGAAGGGGGGGGGGAGCGGCCCCTCCTCCCTGTGCTGCAGCTGCTTGCAGCCCGCTTGGGACTGCCTGTGTCCGCTCCGGACAGCCCCACATGGGCTGCAAGCGCCTGCAATGTGGGGCGCGGGCCGTGGGGCAGGTGAGGGGCCACTTTTCCCCATGCTCAGCAGCAGCTTCTTCCCTGCTGGCAAGCAGGGGGTTGGGGCTGTGCACTGCCTCCCACCCGTACTGCAGGGCTGAGGGGCACGGAGTGAGCAGGCGGGGACCCAGTGGGAGCACAAGGGCCCACACTGGGGTCCCAGGGCCAGTGGCGGTGGGGGCCAGAA